GATAGATAGATAGATAGATAGATAGATAGATAGATAGATAGATAGATGATAGAATGACAGACAAACACCCCTGCTTTTGATTGCTAGATAGATAGATAGATAGATAGATAGATAGATAGATAGATAATAGAGAGAGATGAGAGAGAGATAATAGACAGATGATAGATGATAGATAGATAGGTAGATACAGGTACAGGTACAGATGCAGATACAGGTACAGGTACAGGTACAGGTACATGCACAGGCACAGGTACAGATACACAGGTACAGGTACAGGTACAGGCACAGGCACAGGTACAGGTACAGATACGGATACGGATATTTATACGGATACAGATATAGATATAGATACATAGGTGACACATCATTAAATCAAAATATAAGTTAGTACAAACCAGCGTAATTTATTTACATCAACAATGGCATTTACTTGCCTGACTTTCTTTCCTTGTTCGTTGAGCATTTTCACCATGTCAGCAATGGGGTATTGAGCTTTAGCTGCACATAAACCCCAACCTGAAGTGAGGGGGGAAAAAAGCTATCAGAACATGGAGAGTGTACCCAGAGGCTGTTGAGAGAACACCGAGTGCAGAAGAAACATGCATTAAGGCCAGGAAAGTGTTACAAAGAGCATCAGACCAGACAGAATAACAGAGTTGGAAGGGACCTTGGAGGTCTTCTAGTTCCAACCCCCTGCTTAGGCAGGAAACCCTGCACCACTTCAGACAAATGGCTATCCAATCTCTTCTTGAAAACTTCTAGTGTTGGAGCATTCACATCTTCTGGAGGCAACTTGTTCCACTGGTTAATTGTTCTCACTGTCAGGAAATTTTTCCTTAGTTCTAAGTTGCTTCTCTCCTTGGTTAGTTTCCATCCATTGCTTCTTGTCCTACTTTCAGGAACTTTGGAGAATAGCTTGACTCCCTCTTCTTTGTGGCAGCCTGTCAAATTTTAAAGTTCTTCTTTAATGACCAATCCTTTGTATATCTGCTTTGTAGTAAAAGATGGTTATCTCCTAACCCATCTAGTAGCGATAGAAAGAAGCTGCCATGAGTTCGTGAGTTCAGGCAAGAATGAAGAAAACTCCCCCAACCCCTTGAGTGTCAATTTAGTGGCCAATCAGGAATACAGATGTGGCCACGTGACATGAACTACATTTCCCAGGATACCTTTAACTACATTTACCATGATGCATTCCCTTAAGGGGACAGCTCATAATTCCTAAGTAACTATCCAATTCCCATAGACTGGCTGGGACAGCACACTTTCATTAAACTAGACATAGTCCCACCATCAGTTATTTACTCCACGCGGGACAGGAAGAAGGGAAAGGAGACACAGACTTAGTTGCAAGACTGATGTGAGGTAATGGTATATGAGAATGACCTTGGGAGACAGGAGGAACAGCTACGGACTAAGCAACAATCCATTATGAAGCAGTTCAGCCTGTAGCCAACATCTCAGAAAGGATTCTTTCTAGTTTTTAGGATTGTAAAAGTGAGGATGGAGAGATGCAGTTTCAGACTTTCAAGAGTCTGCTAGTGTAACCTTACAATTAAGATAGAACTAGTACTTCTCGGTGTGGTTCTTGTCTGAACTAATTCACAAGATTGACATGTGAGTCCTAAAAAGTAGACCAGATCAGGGGTTCACTCAAAATATGTGAATTGTCATCACAGTTCTGCCGCAGTGAAAGGCTTTAATCTGTTTGAGTCTAAGAAAAAATAGGGTTGGCATAGAAGACAATGATGGTGGACCCCACTCATGAAGCAAGGCCCACCCAAAACATGGTTCAGTATCTGCAATTAAGACAATAAAATCGCTTATTTGTAATAGAATCTCAGGAGTTAAAAGATAACAAAACAAGAGGCCCAGATATAGGATGATTCCCAACCTTTCCCCATTTTCCCTGGTTTACATTCTCCAGAGTTGGAGAAGTATCATTACTGAGGTTCACAGATTGATCAAAACCAAACAAAGCATAGGTAGCTCATGTAGAGATCAGTTTTTGGTTAATTGTTCCCTCTTACCTGGTGTAATGATGATAGAGTTTGCTTCTTTGATCATTTCAATGGCTTGGTCAATCCCAACTTCAGTATGTGTTCCAACTACTTCCATGGGCTTTCCTCCAGCTGTAGATGTTGTACCATATCCACCCAAAATGACATTTGGTAGCGAGCGGTTCATAGCCTGGCCAACCATAAACCATACATTAACCCAAAGCTTCCAGTCATTGAAAGATTCCAATGGATATAAAGCAGGAAACTACTTTAAGCATGCTTTACTCTGTACAGATGTCATGCATATGACAGCTTCAATTCACAACATGGCTTGCAATCCCAGAACTTAATGCCGTACTTCATTCTGACACATGGTTTCAATGTTTAGTATACCATCATAATGCTTAGACGGAAATAAAGAAAATGAGCTATTTTGAAGCAAATGCCTGTTCATAATTAATCCTTTAAGCTTTTTAAATGAGCAACAAGAGCTGCTGACTTTCTACAGGACCCTTCCCCAGCCTGGAACTGCAATTCCAGTAATTGTGTGAATGGGGTCCCAAGAATGTTGAGAGTTGCAATCTACTTGGAGGACACATAAAACCTCTGGAAACATCCAGGCAAGGCTGGAATATGGCTGTCACAATAGGTCCTCCTGAAATCTGTTGTGATTAACAAAGTGGGAGATCCACGAAACAGGATCAACTGAAGAAACACGTCACAACATGGAAAAAAAAATGCAGCGGAGCCCACCACAGAGGACCTGACCTTACCACACACATGATGTAAGACAGGATAGCTCCAGAAGAGCCAATCAACGCTCCAACGATTGTCATCAAGTTGTTGTTGAGAAGGAACCCTTCTGCACACAAAGCCCATCCAGAGTAGCTATTCAGCACAGTGATCACCACAGGCATGTCTGCTCCACCAATGGCTGCCGTTAATGTCACTCCCTGTGATTTTTGATGCACCAAAGGAGAAAAGGTAGAGCAGATGTGTATACATTTATGCAATGATATATTGAAGAGCCATGGTGGCGCAGTGTTTAGAATGCAGTACTGCAGGCTACTTCTGCTGCCTGCCAGCTGACTGAAATTTGGCAGTTCAAATCTCACCAGGCTCAAAGTTGACTCAGAGTTAAGAGGGTTCCTCCTTAGCAATTCTCAGAGTCTATCTTTGATAATGATGCAAGTAGTTTAGTTTGACAATATTTATGTCTATAGGTGAGGAACAATAACTCTACATGTCTTTCTTGGTTTTGGAGTCATGGTGGTGCAGTGGTTAGAATGCAGTATTGCAGGTTAATTCTGCTGACTGTCAGCGTTCGATTCTCACTAACTTAATGTTAACTCAGCCTTCCATCTTTCCAAGGTGGGTAAAATGAGGACCCAGATGGTTGGAGGCAAGAAGCTGACTCTGTAAACCATTTAGAGAGGGCTGTAAAAGCACTGTGAAGCGGTATATAAGTCTAAGGGCTATTGTTATTAAGTTTCACTTTAAAATGAAAAGGAGAAAAGCTAATTCTGTACTCTGATCAGCCGCATTCAAACATAGAACTATGAGCAGTATCTACCCTTTTTCTGAATGTAGAGGCTGTTTTCAATACTGGTTCCCCAATGACCAGTGTTCATTAGGTGAAACTAAGATGTGGAACTGGTAAAAGAGACTACTCTGTGGGTTTCCTACAGGAGGCAGGAGACAATCAAACACATTCTAGATAGGCTTCAGCAGGCAATCTCTCTTTTGAGTGTCCAACATATATTCTGGGCATAGCTTTGCAGAAAACCAGAAGGAAGACATCCATTTGCTCTCAACCATCTTCCAACTTATCTTTGCTCCTAAGCCGGTAGACCAGACTAAAGTCATTGCCATGTTTATTTTCTAAGAAAGCTTATGGTGTTTATGTGAGACCCAGGGATATTCTTGGAAATAAAAAAGATGCAGAATCCCCCCTGTCATTTTGAATTAAAACAGTCTATAAGAAAGAAGGAAATAAAATTGGGAAGAACTACAACGTCTTACGAGCTTCAAGGCAAGTATCAATATGGCCCTACTCTGCATAGCAAGTTGCCTACCACTGTTCAGGAAGGTTCCAGCTCTTGCCAGACCCTGTTCTTGGGCTGGCTGTGACTTGGCCATCAGTTCATCTCCAGTTTTTCATCTGCCCAATTTAAAGGAATGAGGAGTAAAGTTTTTTGACCCCTACCATTATCGAGGAGAGCCCAGAAACTCCAAGAAGGCAGGCCATGCCTCCTGTATAGCTGGAGTCTAACATAAAATAAATCATGCCTCCTACTGAAGCTGCCATCAGTCCAGCATTCAAATAATGACGGCCAGGCAGGAGAAGAGGAGAAGAGTTCAACAGACCTAGAAAGAAACGAGATGCAATGTATAAAGTCAGCAGTTCATTAACTCTCAGGGTGGGGTGGGCTGAAGATAGGGGGAAGGCCATTTCTTTCCATCAGTATCATGTCCTCTCACTTGCCCAACTGACAGAAATTAAGGATTGACTTATTTGGCTGGGCAGGAAGAGACCCGTTGTGGTGTCATGGGGACGGGCTGGACTAAAACTGGTTAGGAGGTCTTCAAACTAACGATAATCCAAACTAACATTAACACTTGATCCACCATACCAGTCTTTTTCAACCTTAGCAGCTTTGAGATGTATGGACCTCAATTGGCTAGGGAATTCTGGGAGTTGAAGTTGACATCTTAATATTGCTGAGGGTGAATGTCTATTCTTCTTCATCTTGTGCCATATCCATCACCGGACGTTGGCGATCATATTGGCAATCCTATTTTTATCAACAGCCACATGAAAAAGTGCTGCTGAGTTTTGTCCAAACCAGTTCCTTAGATTTTGAAGTCATTGGGGTTCTTCTTCTGCCTGGACCTTCATTTGCCTTCAATCTTTCCTTGGAGGATTAAATGAAGCACTTAATTATTTAATTAAGTACTTGATTGTAGGAAGTACGATTTCAGCAAGAGAGTGGTCAATGTCTGGAACTCACTACCTGATTCTGTAGTCACATGCTCAAACCCCCACTCCTTTACCTTCAAACTAACCTCTATTGACCTCACCTCATTCCTAAGAGGTCTGTAAGGGGCGTGCATAATCGCACAATCGTGCCTACCATCTCTGTCCTATTGTCCCCAATTTATTTATACTTATGTTTATTCCTATTTCTATTATATTGCAAATGTTTGACAAAACAAATAAATAAATAAATAAATAATGAATAATAAAGTATGCTGTATTTTTCTGGGTGTCGCATCCCTTGTCCAAAATACTCTAACTTTCGCTTTTTCATGGTTTTGATGATGTCCCTTGGCTTTCCCAGGTAGCTTATCACCTCCTCATTTCTGATTTTGTCAATCCAACTTATACGTAGTGAATGTCTATGGAGATTCTCAATCATCCAGGTCATGGTTGTCCCAAAAGTGCTTTTCCAAAAGTTAACTGGACTTTCTTGGGGTTTTTTTTTCCTCAAAAAGGTTTTGCTTTTCAAATATTAAAGAAGCTTCTTGGATGAGAAGAGAATTTTTTTCAAGGGAAAAAACCTAGAAAGTCCAGTCACCTTTTGGAAAGGCATCTTTTGAGACTGGCTGAGGTCGAGAAACGTGGACTATACCATAAAAGGTCCTTTGGTCTGTATGAGCCACATAATATATTGGCTAATACTGTGATACAGAGTCTACTATTCATCAGATCTTGAGATCAAGTCAAAGTTGTTTCAAGAAGTTTGTGGGTGTTGTTTTTTTTAAAGTCTGGCACCAACTTTTATGGAAATTCAGTATGAATAGAATTCCTCTCTCTTAAAAAGCCATTGGTGTCATTAGACTGAGTTCTGCAGACATGATTAAAAAAATTTTTTTAATGCATCCTGACCATGAAAAGACATACCTTGCAGTTTTCCATAGGCTACCAAAGAGCCACTGAAGGTTACACCCCCAATGTAAGTGCCCAGGTAGGCCACAGTTTTGAGAACACTGGCAGATGGATGTAAATCAAGGTGGGGATATTCTATCATGTACTCAGCAACGCAGGTCAAAACGGCTGCCAAACCAACCAGGCTGTGAAAGGCAGCAACCAGTTGTGGGAGGTCAGAGATCTCGATACGTTTTGCAATTGTGAGACCTGCAAAAGAAAGCAGTTGGGATCCAAGGTGAAAACAAATTGATTTTTATGCTTCATCATTCTCTTGAGCCTGTATCAAAAGAGAGTAAAATGTGGACCTTAAGTTCTCTCCCTTTTGAAGTTAAGAAAAAAAAAAAGACAGGACTCTTATATTATGGTCTCATTTTAGGGCTCCTTCAAGGTTCATGATTAAATTCTCTAGCATTACAGAGTTCAAGTAGAAAATAGGAGTCCCTTATTTTCATGCAAAGGTTGAAAACAAGGAAAAAAGGGGTGGGGGAGTGGAAGGCAGATCCCTAGCTTTTGTCCTAGTTCAGTGATGGCTAACCTTTTCAGCTTGGTGTGTCGAAAATCGGGAAAAAGTGTAGCCTTCCTCGGGTCGTGTGTCACTTCAAGAAATATCAATAATTTGGTTTATGACGGACTGGGCTGGAGTGATCACACAGGGCTGTGAAACTCGTCTCCCTGGTCTCAGGGCTGCAGGTGCAGGATGTGGGGATCGGAAGGCCACCTTACAGGGCTGTGAACCTCATGGATCTCCTTTCCTCCTGTAGCGTTCCTGAGGTAATGAAACTGACAAACCTCAGTTTATGGCGGTTAAAACTGGTTCTCTGCTGCAAAGATCTTGCGGCAGTGGTGACACCACGCCTCCACGCAACAAGCAGGGAGCAGGGATTGGAGCAGAGCACAGGCAGCCTCTAAATGTGCAGGTTTTCCCCACACCAACAGGCATGTCAGTCAAAGTGCCTCGGCGTGTCACGAGTGACACGCGTGTCATAGGTTAGCCGTCACTGTCCTAGTTACTACTATGGTCTGCAACACGTTAAGAGTTCCTCATCCACTAGGCTTCTACAGAAACCATTCTCTAAAAGTACACAGAGTAAAAGCCATTGACATAAATAATAATGCCCACTTTCTCCTGTTATGTATTTTCCACAATTGGTGTGAAAGTCTTCCTTCTAGATTTATAAACCTGTGGTGGATTGTAGTCTGGATTCCCAAGAGGGAGAGGCTGCATTCTAGAGGAGCAAGACACCCTGAAGTTTAGATAATTTGGCTGGGAGGAAGAGGATTCCTCCTTAGCAATTCTCAGAGTCTATCTTTGATCATGATGCACGTAGTTGCTTTAGTTTGGCAAAATTTCTGTCTATAGGTGAGGAGCAGTAAAAGAAACTGTTCGCAATTAACTCTACATGTCTTTCTTGGTTTTTGAGCTGTGGTGGCGCAGTGGTTAGAATGCAGTATTGCAGGTTAACTCTGCCAACTGTCAGGGTTCAATTCTCACCTGCTCAATGTTGACTCAGCCTTCCATCCTTCTGAGGTCGGTAAAATGAGGACCCAGATTGTTGGGGGCAAGAGGCTGACTCTGTAAAACCGCTTAGAGAAGGCTGAAAAGCACTGCAAAGCGGTATATAAGTCTAAGTGCTATTGCTATTTTGGGGGCTGATTCAAATTTTGGCACAGAGTTCATTTGACTGTTTGGAACTGTGAGCCATGCCAGAGGTGATCTGGTGACCTAATCCTGCAAAGACTGATGTTCCATTCACTTGATCTATTTGTTTTGTTCATCTGAAAGAGAAATATTTTCACTGCATAATTCCTCATGCACCTTTGGACCTACTAAGCTCATTTTCATGGCAGCCATTATGATGCTAACAAATGCAGGTCAAATTTTTCTTTGACCCAAACATTTTTTTAAGAAAAATCATGCATGGCTTGGAAGTGTAGCTAGGCAATTCGGATTCAGCTTCTTCTTTATGAACATATCCACCGTTCTGTGACTTCAAACTTCCTGTCTACTTTTCCACATAATTTCATTTCTCAGATGACTTTAAAAGGAACCAGTTAATTTTGCTGAGTTGATTGAGGAGGAAATGCAATACTGACCCAGAGATCTATTTCATGTGGAAGAATTATCCATATATACAGAAAACACAACAAAGAAGAAAACCGCACACAAATCTTCATGTTGTTATCACATGTTTCACACACCTGGACAGAGGTGCTCTTTCCCATTTTAGACAGCTTGCCCAGTGGGCTAATCTTTAAGCCAGCTTTATTCAGATTGCCCAAGACATTTAAATAAATCATGAGCCTTCTGGCTTTTATGCTTTTACGTTGCATCCGATTGCCCAACGCTTTAAAAACTGTGAACTGTTTTTGTTTTTTAAATGAAAGGTAGTAGATTGTTTTTAGAAATAAATAAGCAAGCAAGCAAGCTGGAAAACCTGATTTTCCACTTGTTGATGCCAGTGGAGGACTAAAATAAGATTTCACACAAATCCGTTTCAGAGCATGTTTACAAGAGTTTGGATTCTGTGAGTAGAGCAGATCCATCTTCGCCCTGCACCCTCCTTGTTTCATGTTAATTTGCAAACCCTGCTGGCGTAAATGAGGGCACCGAGAGAAATTGAAAAGAAGGAAGCAACATGACATTTGTGAATAAACATTACTGACGTGAAAACTACTTTGCATGGCAGCAGTGAGCTGGCACAGTTGGTTCCAGATGAAATGTTTCCTACATTTACTGTGTACACTGCAGTGCTTCATTGTTTTTTTTTCTTACTCAAGAGCTCCACCTCTTGGAATTAAACGTAACTTATGACCCCCCGAATGCAGCACTAGGTGCCAGGGCATCAAGATCATCTTATAAACCCCATGAGCAATCTTGTAAAGGAATCCGAGGGTCACCCTGGATTCATTAATAGAAAAGAATAAAAGCATTGCAAGGGACCCTGGGTGTCTTTCTGCTTAAACAAGACACTCTAGTCCAGGAGTCTCCAACCTTGGCCACTTGAAGCCTGGAGGACTTCAAGTGGCCAAGGTTGGAGACCCCTGCTCTAGTCGATACCATTTCAGATAAATGGTATAAATAGCATTCTTTAAAAGATCCAGTGATGGAGCACTCACAACTTCTGAAGGCAAGGTATTCCACTGGTTAACTGTTCTGACTGTCAGGAAATTTCTCCTTCATTCTAGATTGGTTCTCTCATTGATTAGTTTCCATCCATTGATTCTTGTTCTGCCTTCAGGTGCTTTGAAGAGTAGGGTGACCCCCTCTTCCTTGGGGCAGCCCCTGAGATATTGGAACACTGCTATCATGTCACCCCTAGTCCTTCTTTTCACTGGATTAGACATACCTCAATTCCTTCAACTGGTCTTCCTATGTTCTCCACTCCTCTACTCGTTGCACAATACCTTATGCCACCAGAGGTGAAATTTTAGGCCTTAAAAAAGCTAGAACTACGCCACCTTCGGTCTGATCTAAGTATAGTATATAAAATCATACATTGTAATGTCGTACCAGTCAATGAATACTTCAGCTTCAACCATAACAACACAAGAGCACACAATAGATACAAACTCAAGGTTAACCACACCAAACTTGATTGCAGGAAATACGACTTCAGCAACAGAGTGGTCAATGTCTGGAACACTCAACCTGACTCTGTGGTTTCTTCCCCAAACCTCAAAAAATTAAACCTTAGACTGTCTACTATTGACCTCACCCCTTTCCTAAGAGGTCTGTAGGGCGCGTGCATAAGCGCACTAAGGTGCCTACCATCCCTGTTTCTTTTTATTTTTCTTATATGTATCCATTTCATGTATTCATAACTAGGTTTATACTTATACCTGTTATCCTATAATCACTTGACAAATTAATAAATAAATAAATGTTTTAGCCTCCAGCCTCCTAATCATCTTTCTTGCTCTTTTCTTCACTCTTTCCAGCATCTTAACATATATTTTTTATGCCATAGGGAACAAAACTAGATGCAATATTCCAAGTGTGATTTAACAAGGCAGTATAAAGCAATACTAACACTTCACATGATCTTGATTCTATCCCTTTGTTAATGCAGCCTAGGACTGCATTGGCATTTTTGGCAGCCGAACACACTGCTGGCTCATAGTTCAGCAGATGTCTATTAGGACTCTCTTTTGCAAATATCAGTGTCAGGTGCAAGCAACCAGAAACACTTGTGAATAGACCCAAGCAGAAATTTTATCGCTGGTCATCTATGTTACAAGCATTTTGCCAGCCTGACTGCATTCCCTTAGGTCAGATAGGGCTTTGAAGATTCTGGAGGAAGTCAAGCCTGTGCTGCTTCCTGCAGCGCAAAGACTCTAAACCTGTCTCCCACTTAACGCCTCCCTCCAGTCTAGCTGGAGATTCCACTGCAATCAGGTTCAAATTCATTTCATATTCAGATAATTAATGGTGCTACTGCAGTGAGGGGAATTGATACCAGTTGGTCTTTGTGATAGCTATGCTTCTCCCAGGTAGCATCAATAATGTGGTTCCTTTGCCTAAAGTGAGTTCCTGCTTGACAAGGTGATCCATCTATGATCCACCTGCTGTCAGCTTTGGAAGCCATATTGAGATCCGATGCTCCCACGCTGCCACAATTGAAACTGGGAAAGTGGGAGGGGGGAATTCATTTGAGTATTTCTAATTAGACAAAATAAAATCCTTTTGCTGTTTCAAGGTCATGTAGTGTTGCGCATAGTGAAAAGGAAGTCTTACTTTGGGACTTTGGGTGATTGGGCCATGGGATGTGGTGATGGCTAAGGGGGGATGGATTTGTAGTTTTTATTTTTGAAAGGAAGCCCGAAACTTTCAGATTCAGGATTCCACAGATGTACCAGTTACTATCCAAATAAAAGGAACTTTTGAGAGATGTCAGTCTCGGAGTTATTGGTTGGAATGGAGGGTTGCTGGAACGCTGACACCTGCATTCAGTTCAGAGGTGAGATATTACTTGGGCTTCTCCAGTGACAACTAAATCAGAAATCATCCTAGAAAACACCTTTCTCTGAATTTGTATTCTGTTGGAAAGATTGCATACATGTGTTTGGGGGCATCTTAGTCACTAGGGTTATCTTCTCTTTGAAGATGCATGACCACGATTCTAGGAATACCAGATTTTCCTAGGACAGGGTTTCAAAACCACTTGTTTAAAGGCTCACCCATAGTGCCTCCCAAGGCCATGGCCGTGGACATCTGGGCCAGTACTTCTGGTGAAGGTTTCAAACTGCCCAATGTAGCGGCAATGCCAGCAGCGACGCCAATCATCCCAAGGGCGTTGCCAAGCCGTGAAGTGCTCTGACTAGATAAGCCAGCGAGGGCCCCCACACAGCAAAGGCCAGAGCCCAGGTACATCATCTGTAGAGGGAGAGAAGCAAAGGTTGTAAGGGGGAAAAGTTGGCTTTGGCTTCACGTATGTAGGTCTCCCTTGCCATCTTATCGCCCTGCACCAAATTGTGAGCAAGGACAGGTCGTCCTTGACTTTACAACCGCGATTCATACCCAAATGTCTTGTTGCTAAGTGAGATGTTTGTTCAAGGAATTTTGCAAGAGTTTAACGATCTTTTTTTTGGGGGGGGGGCACAGTTGTTCAGGGAATCACTGCAATTGTTGACTTCGTTGCACTCTTGTAAAGTGAATCTACCTTCCCTGTTGACTTTGTTGGTCAGAAGGTCACAAAAGGGGATCACATGACCCCACAGGACACTGCAATGGTCATAAATACATGGCCAGTTGCCAAGCATCTGAATTTTGGTCAAGTGACGGTGGGGATGCTGCAATAGTCATAAATGTGAAAAAAAACCCATCATGAATCTGTGATGACCCAGGGCGTGGCACAAAAGCAACAAAGTCACAAAAGTAGGTGAAGTCCCTTTAATTCCTCCAACTTGGCCCCCAATGTCCAGTTATCATCAGCTGGAAAAAAAACTCTCCCAAGAACAGTTTTTAAAGGGAAGAAATTCAGTCTGAACCAAAAGTACATCTAAATTATAAATAAAAACCAACACAAACCACAGCTGCAGCAATTAATGAGACAGAGCATGATAAGGAATTGCAGACTTCCAAAAGATAACGAAACACACACAGTTGGGAGGACGCCAGAACCCAGATAAGACGTAACAAACAAAGATAATGCATGCTTTGCTTCCAGCAAGGTGCTGTGCGCAAACACCCTTTATATCCTGTTTTCCCAGCTGCAGCTAATGAAGGGAATCAGGGCCTTTTTCTCCCCTCTAACCCACATTGCTCCCTTATCCATTCCTCCCTGTGTGCCCTAGGATGAAGAAGGGGTGGGCCTGGGTGAATGTCCAGTCGGACTGTGCCATTCCCCAGTTTCCTTCACAGCCACCAGAGCCACACTCCCACTCCCCGTCAACTGTTCGATCTCCCCCTCAGAATCAGATTCCATCAGGGGCATGACAGAATCACTGGCAAGAAGTGAGTGAGGAGCCTCTGTGGCACAGTGTTTAAAGTGCAGTACTGCACGCTACTTCTGATGCAACCAGCTGCCTGCAATTCGGCAGTTCAAATCCCACCAGGCTCAAGGTTTATTATTCAGCCTTCCATCCTTCCGAGGTCATTAAAACAAGGACTCAGATTGTTGGGGGCAATAGGCTGACTCTGCAAACTGCTTAGAGAGGAGTGTAAAAGCACTGTAAAGCGGTACATAAGTCTAAGTGCTATTGCTAAGAAAGGTCTTAAAATGGGGCAAAACTCCCTTAACAACTGTCTTATTTAGCAACAGAAATTTTGAGCTCAATTGTGGCTGTAAGTCAAGGACTGCCTGTATCTGAATGCTTTGTTTGCTTCTCTAAATAAACATTCTTGCCTTTCCCCTTCTCTGCTTTTCAAAATCTTCCTGGGTAAACCTTCAAAGTTTTATGCAAAGTAATATAGTAATAGAGGTGGAAGGGACCTTGGAGGTCTTCTAGTCCAACCCACTGCTCTGGCAGGAGACCCTATTCCATTCCGGACAAGTGGCTGTCCAATCTCTTCTTAAAAACCTCCAGTGATTGAGCACCCACAACTTCTGAAGGCAAAGCTGTTCCTTTGGTTAATTGTCCTCACTATTAGGAAGTTTCTCCTTAATTCCAGGTTGCTTCTCTCCTTGATTAGTTTCCATCCCTTGTTTCTTGGCTGCCACAGAGAGGAGGGAGATCAAGCTATTTTCCAAGGCACCTGAAGGGCAGACAAGGAATAATGGATGGAAGCTGAACAAGGAGAGATTTAACCTGGAAACAAGGAGAAACTTTCTGACAGTGAGAACAATCAGCCCAGGGAACAGAAGTTGCCTTCAGAAATTGCGGGAGCTTCATCACTGGAAGCTTTCAAGAAGAGACTGGGCTGCCATTTGTTGGAAATGGTCTAGGGTCTCCCACTTGGGTGGGGGGTTAGACTAGATGACCTACAAGGTCCCTTCCAACTCTGATTATCTGTTATCTATTCTGCCCTCTGGTGCTTTGGAGAATAAGTTGAAACTTATTTATTTATTTATTCATTCATTCACTTATTATAAGTTCAGAACGAACTGAAACTTGCATGTGAGTAAAGCGGAAAAATCATTTAGCTCTACCTGTTGTACAGCACTCTGCCTGGCAAAGGGTGGCTACGGACGAAGTAATTAGCTGTAAATTTAAGTGACATAGTAAAGCTGTTCTTGCTAGATTTATTCTGCCTCTCCTGCCGCAAGTTGTTTTTTTTAAAGTTTTCACCATCATTCAATGTACAGAAGAACTGCAGACCACTAATTCAAATGCATTTTGAAAATAACAGCGCTGTGAGATCATCTCAGCCCATTATTTAATTCCTACTTTGATTTTTTTTTTTTTTTAAGGTTTTGATGCATAGCAAGATGCTTTGAAAACCTGGCACGACCGTGCCTTTATGTGTAACATATGGTGCTTCTAACTGGGTTGGATTAGCAGAGGTTGCTTCTTCTCAAATCAGAATGGTCTTGCATTACCGGCAGGCTCGAAATAAATTTACCAAATTGGCAATGAAACCCCAAACCCATCCACACAGGACATTGGGGAAAGTCAGACAGCAAACTCCAAAGTGAAAACTCTATATCAGTACACACCAAGGGAGGAATGCAGGCACACACACGTGTGTGTATTAAAAATCTCAAGGTCTCCTGATCGAAACCAATACAGAGAGGAAGGGGAATTATCTACGAGCAAACTTCGTACATAAATACAAAATTACATCTGAGTTTGGAAACCCAAAATTCTATCTCTCAAACTTCAGAAAGGCCTGGAACTAGGCTGCAAAACACACACGAACACCAAACCCTAGTTCAAGGCCACCAATCAAGACTTCCTGAAAAGTAACCGATGCCTCCTGCTGCCCTCCAAGAGTGCTAGAAACTTGAACTGCCAAAATTCCTAGCCAGCCGGGAAAGGCTGCTTTAAACCTATGGGATGTAGAGGTATTCCTCAACTTACGACCACAATTGAACACAACATTTCTGTTGTTAAGTGAATTCTGCCCCGTTTTACGAACTTTCTTGCCGCTGGTCTAGTGACATCACTGACAGTGTAACTTTGAACGGTCACTAAATGCAAATATTTACAGACCCCCTCACATCCTGGACATAAACTGTTTCAACTCCCACCCACAAAACGACGCTATAGAGCACTGCACACCAGAACAACTAGACACAAGGACAGTGTCATGCCCCTGTTGGAGACTGACTCTGAGGAAGAGGAGGAACAGCCAACAGGGAGTGGGAGTGTGGCTCCAGAGGTGGTAGAGGAGGCTGGGGAAGGGCAGAGGCTGGCTGAGCAGTCAGAAGAGGATCCAGGCCCATCCCCTATCCATCCTAGGTCATGCAGGGAGGAGAGGATCAGGGAAAAGCAAGGTCTACTCAAGAGGAGATTACCATGATCCTCCTCGTGGCTTGCAGCTGGGAGCTATGTATATAAGTTTGCAACTGCGCAGTTAGAATTTGCAGGAGTCAGTTTTAGTGTTCACCTTGAAAGAGGTTTATCTGTGCTGGCGTTCTTCCCATGGACTCTCCTCAATTATTTTCCTGGAGTTTATGATTAGTTATCTTGGCTTGCTTCGGAACTCTCATCAATGCAGTTTGTTTTGGTTTTCTGTTTGCCTCATTATTTACTTTTGTGACTTTAAACTGTGCCTAATAAAACAGTGAAGTTAAGTTGAAGGCCTTACCGGACTGTAATATATGTTTTGGGTTTTGGGTTATTTTGAGAGACTACGGGTCACCACAGACAGTTTTTTCCCGAACGCCATCACAAATAATTCCCTCAACACTGTCCAACTATTTACAAAGTCTGCATTACTATTACTATTAATCTTCTCATCACTCCTTATCACCCATCCCCTCTCACTTGTCACTGTATGACTGTAACTTTGTTGCTTGTATCCTTATGAGTGTTTCCTAGTATGATTTGATTGCTTATGACTATTATTAAGTGTTGTACCTGATGACTCTTGTATCTTTTCTTTCCTTTTATGTATACTGAGAGCTTTTGCACCAAGACAAATTCCTTGTGTGTCCAATCACACTTGGCCAATAAATAATTCTATCTATTCTATCTATCTATGAACTGTTGTAAATCTGTTTAATCCCGTTTAACCCCGCTTTCCTCATTCCATGCTTTATTTCTATACAAAAGGCACAGTCATGGGTGGGATGACATATCCTGAATTTGGAGAGTAGCTAAAAATATTTAAAGGGGAGAGAAAGACCAAAAAACTCATGTGTGTTTACTGGGAGACATTTTCATCAACAACTATTCCTCACGCAAGATCATGGGTCATACAGGAGTTTGACAAGTTTCTCTGAACCAAGTGTGGCCCCTAAATTGGAGGTTGACACTCAATGGCTCCAAGGTTGAATCCAAACAATCAAAGCAATGAGTGTAGCCTCCTGAGAGCTCCTTCAACAGTTGTCCATGGATTATAACTTTAATATAACAGCAGGGGGGAGGTGAATATTAAGTACATGTGGGAGTGATTATGCTGTATTTAATCTAATTTAAATTCTGTTTAGTTTTGTCTTAGCCGATTTTAGCTGTAGCACAACCCATTTTTGAAATGCAGTCTTGGACTCAGCAGAGAAGGCAATTAATTCTTTGCTGTGGTGGAGGATGAGGAGGATGATCTTGATGGAAATATGCAAGAACCTAAGCAAAGGGGGCTGAAGCATTTCTTTTACATCCAGTGCAATGAGATAACATTTGAGCGCAGCTCAAGGAGACACTTTCTTGATTCAGTGGAGCATAAGAAGGGGTAGGAGGTACAGCACAACGAGACCTGCAAGATTCTGTTATTGTAGCCCATCTCAATTAAAGTAGTTTTAAGCTTCCTGGGGAGTTGATTTCCTGTTCTGGTCTTCCAATACCATCAAAGCTGAAACCAGCCAGAGCATAGATCTCAAAGAAGTAGTGCAAGATCAGAAGATGTGGCGAGACTTGGTCCATAGCATCGCCAAGAGTTGGACACAACTGAATGGATGATCATCATCATCATCATCTTCATCTGGTCTTCCCAGTGGGTGCTGAACAGACATGAAAAGAACTGCAGGCAATCACACACACCCTTGTTGATTACAGATGTTCTTCAACAACTTGAATGGAATGGAATGGAATGGAATGGAATGGAATAGAATAGAATAGAATAGAATAGAATAGAATAGAATAGAATAGAATCAAATAGAATAGAATTCTTTATTGGCCAAGTGTGATTGGACACAGAAGGAATTTGTCTTGGTGCAAATGCTCTCAGTGTACATAAAAGAAAAAATACATTCATCAAGAGTCAAGAATCATAAGGTACAACACTTAATAATAGTCATAGGGTACAATAAGCAATCATATCATACTAGGAAACAGTCAATAAAAATCGTAAGGATATAGGCAACAAAGTTACAGTCATACAGTCATAAGTGGGAGGGGATGGGTGATAAGGAGTGATGAGAAGATTAATAGTAATAGTAATGAAGACTTTGTAAATAATTGGACAGTATTGAGGGAATTATTGTTTAGCAGAGTGATGGCGTTTGGGAACATCATGTTCTTGAATGTTCCTCACCCTCAGATACAGAACTAAAAACTCTTGAATGTGTAAAGATAAAACAAGTCTCCTCCTCCACCTCCTCATCCTCATTTTAGCCATTGTCTATCCACTGCAGGGTGAAGGCCTCTTCTGCATGTTTCCAGCCAATACATTCCTGAGCTTTCTTTCACCAATAATAAAAACAAGTCTACTTATTCATAGATACGCTCAATTCTCCCACAGGGGAATGAAATGCAACCTATTTGTCTCCCAGTGACTTCCCATTGAGCAGAATTCTGTGAGACCCTAAAGAGGAGAGAAGCAACCTAGAACTAAGGAGATATTTCCTGACAGACCGAACAATTAACCAGTGGAACAATTTGCCTCCAGAAGTTGTAAATGCTCCAACACTGAAAGTTTTTAAGAAGAGATTGGACAACCATTTGTCTGAAGTGGTGTAGGGTCTCTTGCTTGGGCAGGGGGTTGGATTAGAAGACCTCCAAGGTCCTTTCCAGCTCTGTTGTTATTCTGTTATTTATTTATTTATTTATTTATTTATTTATTGATTTGATTTGCCAATTGTTTACAAGATAATAAGTATAAGTGTATACATAGTTGTGAATACATGAAATGGGTACATATAAGAAAAATAAAAGAAGAATAAGAGAAACAATAGGACAGGGACGGTAGGCACGTTGGTGCGCTTATGCACGCCCCCTACAGACCTCTTAGGAAAGGGGTGAGGTCAATAGTAGACAGTCTAAGGTTAAAGTTTTTGGGGTTTGGGGAAGAAACTACAGAGTTGGGTAGAGTATTCCAGACATTGACCACTCTATTGCTGAAGTCATATTTCCTGCAATCAAGTTTGGTGCGGTTAACATTGAGTTTGTATCTATTGTGTGCTCTTGTGTTGTTATGGTTGAAGCTGAAGTATTCATTGACAGGTAGGACATTGCAATGTATGATTTTATATACCATGCTTAAATCAGACCGAAGATGGCGTAATTCAAGGTTTTCTAGTTCTAGAATTTCAAGTCTGGTGGCATAAGGTATTCTACAACGAGTAGAAGAGTGGAGAACTCTTCTTGTGAAATATTTCTGGACTTTCTCAATTGTGCTAATATCAGATATGTAATGTGGGTTCCAGACTAATGAACTGTATTCAAGTATTGGTCTAGCAAATGTTTTGTATGCTCTGGTTAGTAGTGTGATATTACCAGAGAAAAAGCTACGTAGGATTATGTTAACAACTCTTAATGCCTTTTTGGCTATGTAGTTGCAGTGGGCTCTAGCACTTAGATCATTAGAGGTGAGTATTCCAAGGTCCTTTACAGAGCTTGAGTCATCAACAAGATCTTGACTATTCAGCTTGTATTTTATTTTCTGATTTTTTTTGCCAATATGTAAGACAGAGCATTTATTTGTTGAGATTTGAAGTTACCATTTGTTTGACCATTCTGATACATAATCAAGATCTTTTTGTAGGGTAGCAGTATTGTCTGTGGTATTGAACAGCTTTACATCATCAGCGAAAAGAACGCAATTGCTCTTAATATGATCACAGAGGTCATTTATGTAGAGTATGAAGAGAGTTGGTCCTAGAACACTGCCTTGGGGGACACCACTATTGACAGGTACAGAATTTGATAGGACGCTTCCAATTTTGACCATTTGTTGTCTGTTTGCCAGGAATGCTTCTATCCAGTTATTCAGTTGTCCAGAGATACCATAGGATTTTATTTTTAGGAGTAGTTTGTCGTGTACCACTGAATCGAAGGCTTTACAGAAGTCTATGTAGATTGCGTCTATTGCTTTGCCCTGGTCGAGTTGTGTCGTCCATATGTTTTTGCAGTGTAAGAGTTGCAGATTACAGGATAGTTTTTTTCTGAAACCAAATTGTTTATTGGAGAGTAGGTTGTTTGTCTCTAAGTGGAGGATGATGGATTGGTTAATAATTGATTCCATGACTTTACAGGTGACGCAGCATAAGGAGATTGGTCTGTAATTTTCAACTAGGCTTGGGTCTCCCTTTTTGAAGATGGGGATGACTGTGGCTTGTGACCATAGGTTAGGCAAGGAGCTGGTCCTGAAAGATTTTTCAAAGATTATGCTTAGAGGTTTGGCTATGGCAGTGGATAGCTTTTTTAAGAAGTAGGCACATATTCCATCCGGTCCAATAGATAGAGATGGTTTTAGATTGCGTAGTGCTTTTTCAACATTGTCTTCTGTAAAATCGATATGTATTAGATCATTGTTGTTATCTGTGGTACGGCTAGGAAATACTGGGCATGATCCATTGCTGTTTACAAATACTGAGCCGAAGAATGTGTTAAAGAGGTTGGCTTTAATGGTGTCGTCGTTGCAGTCTTTACCATCAGGTCCTATCAAGGGTGGGATGGACCTTGAGTCTTTTAGTTTGTTGTTTACAAAATTCGCTAGCCTCCCCTACCATCAATTTTGTCACACAAGCAGCCCAAGTTGTCGATTTCCTTTTTGCATCTAGCAAGAAATTAAGAGTGGGGGGCAGGGCAGGGAGGACTGTTTAGCTTTCTTCTTGTGTGCTGAAAGCAGAAGCTGAGCACAGAGACCCACCTATCATGTTTGTTATAAGCATTTGTTTACACAATTCAGGGACCACATGAACCCAACGAGCTGTTTTCTTTTCATTACATTGCTTGAAAAATATGCATCACTGGTACTAATGAACCTCAAGAAACCTTTTCTCTCCAGAGAAGCTGCCTTCCATGGAGGACCTGTATACTGCACGAGTCAAAAAGAGGGCTGTGAAAATATCTACAGCCCCCTCACATCCCAGACATAAACTATTTCAACTCCTTCCCTTAAAACGATGCTTTAGAGCACTGCACACCAGAACAACTAGACACAAGGACAGGTTTTCCCCGAACGCCATCAGTCTGCTAAACAAATAATTCCCTCAACACTGTTCAACTAGTCTGCATTACTATTACTATTACTATTACTATTAGTCAAGCTAGTCTGCATTACTATTACTATTAATCTTCTCATCACCTCCTTATCACTCCCTTCCACTTGTGACTGTATGACTGTAACTTTATATCCTTACGATTTTTATTGTCTGTTTCCTAGTATGATTTAATTGCTTATTGTACCCTTTGACTATTATTAAGTGTTGTACCTTATGATTCTTGACTCTTGATGGATGTATCTTTTCTTTTATGTACACTGAGAGAGCCTTTGCACCAAGACAAATTCCTTGTGTGTCCAATCACACTTGGCCAATAAAGAATTCTACTCTATTCTATTCTTCAGTATTGATCTGTTAACTTGGTTCTGAATAAAGAGAGTCTAAAAACTGGCCTGGATTTCTGACCTGCTCAATACTGTATCCACTGAGAAGAGATGCACCATATCCACCAACAAAGACCGTTCCAGGGAGAAGATAGAGGTAATTGTATTCAGGTGGATCTGTTGGACGCTTAAACATATCCAGCATCCTCTGGGTAATTAGAAAGCCACCTATTTGGAGGGGGAATGAAAATGGTTAAGATGAAGCAGAAGGATGAAACAAAGAATTAATTTATACCGGACAATTAATTAATTGTCTTTATTATTTTTACAAATTAACTCCAGGTGACAAACATATTCAACACACCTTCCTCTTCCTATTTTCCCCACAACCCTATGAGGTGAGTTGGACAAAGAGAGAGTGATTGGCCCAAAGTCATTGGCTTTCATGGCTAAGGCGGGACTAGAACTCAACATCTGCTGGTGATTGGCTCAACATCACCCAGTCAGATTTTATGGCTAAGGCAGGACTAGAACTTACAGTCTCCCATTTTCTAGCCTAGTGTTTTAACCACTAGACCAAACTGGCAAATTTGGGCTAGAAATCAATCGTGTGGGGTTCCTAACAGGGTGTCCATGGATACTAAGGAAGATAGCTCCCTTGGCTTTGGAACTGGGTAGCCATGGCCAAAGCAAAATATAAATATTTATTCTAAACAGCAATAGCACTTAGACTTATATACTGGTTCATAGTGGCTTCATACAGCCCTCTCTAAGTGATTTATAGAGTCAGCATATTGCCCCAACAATCTGGATCTTCATTTTACCGACTTCGGAAAGATGGATGGTTGAGTCAACCTTGAGCCGGTCAGGATTGAACTCCTGGCTGTGGGCAGTGAGTTAGCCTGCAATATTGCATTCTAACCACTATGCCACTATGGTGAACATGCACTTTGTGAATTATTACCTGCAATATTGACTGAGGAAACAAAGGCAGCCAGTAAAGCTAATGTCTGAGGCACACTGGAAGGCAAGTAAGATCCCCCCATCAACACCAAGCCGCCCACAGCAGTGAGTCCTAAGAGAGAGAAAATTAAAGAACCTGTTGTGATAGTGTGAAGAGATGATGAGTTTGCAATCCCTTGCTCAAAAACCTTCTATCATATAGCAGATGTTTCCTGTTATGGTTGAACATGCTTGATTACTCATATTGTCAACAGCTCTTAACTCATATTCCAAGCTAGTCGACTAGAGGCAGCCTTGGAAAATGTTGGATTCCATAGAATGTTGCTAACCAAACTGCACAAAATGCTAAAGTCACAGTGCTTCTTCATTATCTAATATTTGAAATTGGCCTCAGCAAATCTCAAATATAGGTGACAGAATAACAGAATTGGAAGGGACGCTGAAGGTCTTCTAGTCCAACCCCTGATCAGACCCTATGCCATTCTGTAGAAATAGCTGTCTAATATTTTTTAAAAGCCTCCAGTGATAGAGCAGCCACAACTTCTACTGATCAATTGTTCTCACGGTCAGGAGATGTCTCGTTACTTCTTTTCTTGCCCTCTGATCCTTGGATCTTTGGACCTATTTTAATATTCCACATTACAGTTATTTCAGGTTTATTTTTGAAGCATCTGTTATTTCAAAATCTGGTTTCACACTTTTATTTTAAGCCATATCTTTGGTTAATCAGGATTTATTGAATAAATCATAATTGTTAACACAATATCTAGCAACTTCCCTTATCAATTATTACAAAATGTAATTACTAAGTATTAGAACTCTAGGTTTTATGAAAATAGTGACGTAGCCCAATTGATACTGGTTATGGTAAATTTTAGCTGGTTTTTTTTTTCAAACACTAAAATCATGGTGGGATTGTGTGAGACAACATGGACAGAAAAACAATCATCAAAATCTTTTAACTATCATCAACTCTCACAAGGATGAAGCAAACTCAGATTCCCTGAAATGTCCTTTAAAGACTTGGTAATGTTGATTGAAAGGTTGGCAGTTCAGTGGTTTGAATCCCTAGCGTGTGTAACGGAGTGAGTTCCTGTTACTTGTCCCAGCTTTTGCCAACCTAGCAGTTTGAAAGCATGTAAAAAATGCAAGTAGAAAAATAGGGACCACTTTGGTGGGAAGGTGACAGTGTTCCATGCGCCTTCGGTGTTTAGTCATGCCAGCCACATGACCAAAGAGACATCTTCGGACAGCGCTGGCACTTCGGCTTTGTAACGGAGATCAGCACCCCACCCCTAGAGCCAGAAATGACTAGCACATATGTGCAGGGGAACCTTTACCTTTTACTTTAATGTAAAGAAATCCATTGATGTTAGAACATAAGAGCTATCTTCAAGTGACTACAGATAAGAGACATTAAACAACAGTGCAGAGAATTCACTGCAGCTAGAAAATTGCCAAATTCAAGAAGAAAGATATGGATAAGTGGCCCTTCTTGGCTGATAGATTTTTTAGGGGAAAGGAACTTTGTTTTCATTTTATTCACAGTGCTCCTCTAGAATCATGGTTGCACCAAGTATTAAAACAAAAAAATGGCAAAGCAAAGGTTGGACGTACCAGAAATTGCATTGGTCACTGACATCAGAGGTGAATGGAGAGCAGGTGTAACACCCCAAACGGTGTGGTAGCCCACAATTCCAGCGAGACCAAAAGTTGTCACCATTTGGGTAAAGGCAGAATTAGGGGAGATGAGACCCAACCCTAAAACTGATGTCAGACCTAAAGAAAACAACAAGCATTTTAGGATACTTAAGAAAGCATTCCCCTCCCTCCAAAAAAGGATTCGACACTCTTTTGGTTTCTGGGGTGTTAACCTTCACAATAAAACAAGACATTGGAAGAAAGGATATGAAGACTTAATGGATGCAATTCGCATTCCTTCCTCCCCGCTCCCTGCCAAATGTTGACTTGTCTGGTTAAAATTCACTTTGCCAAGTTGTCTGTGCCAGAATGCTTTGGCCTCCGGATGTGGAAATGCCAAGAAATAACGTTTTAGACATGTCAAAAATGTTGGTTGAACAAACCTTCAAGGAACAATGTCCCAAGAATTACAAAATGAAAAACGGCTCTGACGTTCCCATTGATTTTGTTACTTGCTTTGGAGGAAAAGGCGCCTATTGTAGCATCTGAAAAATGTTAAAGGAGGCAGACCACACAGGAATTTCAACAACATCCAATGAGAACAAGCTGTAGTTACCTTCTTTGGGTCCTATATATTAGCCTTCTCCAAAGAGGCAAATTCCAGATGAATTTCTCTATAGCACTTGGGCTTTCCAGCTATTATTGGTAGTCCAACATCTGGAGAAGATGTGGGCAACTATGACTTTATCACCTGTGGACTTCAACTCCCAGAATTCCTGAGTCAGCATGGGGTTGACTGCCCTATATTACTCTTTGATACAGTACAGCCCTAATCTGGTGAACCAACCAGATTTTTTTTCCTTTTAATTGTAAGTGATTTGCAAATTTGGAGGTGTGAACCCTTGTGCTTCTCAAAATTGAATTGATAGACACACAATAACCACATGGGAATTGTGCAAATTAGCAGTGTCCCATTCATTTAAATTAAACCCAGTGTTATCTTTCCTTTCCCTACTCCTTTATCCTGGACTATTCAGTCTAGGTTGGACTATTCACATATACAACTGACTCATAACCCATGAATACTGAGGAAATTCTACATGTAAATCAATTCAATACCAAGAAAAACACTTTTAACATTTTAAAAACGCAGGTGAGGTAGTGAATCACCTTGTAGAGGAGAGGGGCAGCATAAACATTTAATGACTAAATAAATGAATGAATGAATGAATGAATGAATGAATGAATGAATAAGTAAGTAAGTAAATAAGTAAGTAAGTAAGTAAGTAAGTAAGTAAATAAATAAATAAATAAATAAATAAATAAATAAATAAATAAATAAATA